TATATCCCCAGCCCCTAGTTTTGTGTTTAGTCTGCTTTTCTTTTCCTAGTTCTTTAGGATAGAACATTAGGTTATTAATTTTATATCTTCATTTATTGATATAGGTATTTACAACTACGCATTTCCCTTTGTGCCCCTGAGTTTTGGTGTGTTGATTTTTCATTTGTCTTTAGCTATTCGATAATTCTCTTGTGCTTTCTTCCTTGACACATTGGTTGGTTGAGTGCTTTGTTTAATTTCAACATATTTGTGAATTTTCCAGTTGTATTTCTGTTATTGATTTTTAAAATTTCATTCTGTTATGGTCAGAGAAGATACTATGTATGAAATCTTTATATTTAAATCTAATGAGGTTTATTTTGTGGCCTAATATATATGGTCTCTGTGTACTTAAGGAAAAAATATGTATTTTTTTGTTGTATAGAGTATTCTTTTTTTAATTTGTTTTAATTAGTTACACATGACAGTACAATGATCTTGACATATCATACATTTGAATCAGATGGGATATAATTTCTCTGTATAGAGTATTCTATATATGTATGTTAATTCTAGTTTATTGTGTTGCTCAAATACTCTATTTCCTTATTTATTTTCTGTCTTGTTCTTTACATTATTAAAGTGGACTAATGAAGTCTGCAACATTATCATAAAACTATTGTTCTTCTAATCCTGTTAATGTGTACATTGTATATTTTGGGGGGTTATTATTAGAAGTGTAAATATCTTTAATATATTGTTATATAATCTTGCTGTACTGAACATTCTAAAATATGTAATATAATGTCTTCCTTTGTCTCTTATGTGCTTTTTTGTTTAGAAGTCGATTTTGACTGTATTTGCCACCCCAGCTCTTTTTTTCCATCCTTTCTTGATCTATTTATGTCTCTGGATCAAAAGTGAGTCTTTGTAGAAAGTATAATGTTGGATCATGGATTCTTCCCCCTTCCCTGTTTTGCAACTTTTTCTTTTGTTTAGAGAGTTAAATCCATCAGGTAATTGTTGATAAGATGGGACTTACTTTTGCCATTTTCCCAATATGTTTTTTAAATGCCTTATAAATTTTGTGTCTCTCATTTTTTCTATTACTGCCTTTTTTTGTGTTTATTATTTGCAGTGAATGTTTTGACTCTGCGCTCATTTCCTTTTGTGTATATTCTATGTGCATCTGTTGTGGTTACTGTAAGGATTACATTTAACATCCTAAAATTGTAACAATCTAATTTTAACTTATACCAACTTAACTTCAATAGGTATAAACCTCTGCTCCTTGATACTTTCATTCTTCCTTTCCTATTAGCACAAATCACATCTTAATACATCTGCATCCAATAACATCAATTAATGATTTTTATGCATTTATCTTTTAAATCATAAACAAAAGTGGTTATAAATAAAAATTTCAATTATGTGATCTTTTTGTAATTGCTCATGCATTTACCTTTACCACAGATTTTCATTTCTTCATGTGACTTTAAGTTACTGTCTAGCATTCTTTCACTTCAACCCCAAAGACCTCCTTTAGCATTTCTTACAGGGCAGTTCTATGTCAAAAACTTCCTCAACTCTTGCTTACCTGGGAATATTTTAATTTCTTCCTTGTTTTAAAAAGACAGTTTTGTTGGACATAAAATTGTTGGTTGAAAAGTTTTTTGTTTCTTCTCAGCACTTTTGAGTGCCTTCTGGCTTTCAAGATTTTTGATGATAACATAGTAGTTGACAACCGTTTTAGTCAGATTTTTTGTTGCTGTGGCCAAAAGACCTCACAAGAACAATTAGAGGAGAAAAAGTTTATTTGGCACTCACAATTTCAGAGGTCTAGTCCATAGACAGCTGGCTCCATTCCTTGGGGCTCAAAGTGGGACAGAACCTCATGGCAAAAGGGTGTGGCAGAGGAAAGCAGCTGGGGACATGGCCAACCAAAAGCTTAGAGAAAGAGCTCTGCTCAAAGACAACAAAATATAAACCCCCAAAACATGTCCCCAAGGACTCACCTCCTCCAGCCACAACTTACCTGCCTACAGTTACCACCCACTTAATCCCTCTCAGGGATTAATGCACTGATAAGGGTTAAGGTTCTTGTAACTCAATTATTTAACCTCTAAACTTTCTTGCATTTCTCACACATGAGCTTTTGGGGGAGGCCTCATATGGAAACCTTAACATTAACCCAATTGATGATTTCTGTGAAGAGTTGCTTCTCTTTCAGCTCTCAATCTTTTACCTTTTTTTGTCTTTATCTTTCAAACAGATTGATTATAATCTGTCTCAGTGTGGATGTCTTTATTTTACTTGGAGTTAATGCAGCTTCTTGAATTTACAAGTCAATATCTCTAATCAAATTTGGGACTTTTCAGTCAAGATTTTTTTTCAAATAGTATTTCTTCCTCTCTCCTTCTGAGATTCCCATAATTCATGTGTTGATCTATTTGATGGGGTTACATAGGTTCCTTAGGCTGTATTAACTTTTCTTCATTCTTTTTGCTTTTAGCTTCTGAGATTTAATAATTTCAATTGTCCTATTTCAAATATCTTCATTGACTCTTCTGTCTATTCAAATCTCCTCTTGAACTCTTCCAGTGAATTTATTTCAGCTCCTTTTTTTTTGGCTCTAGAATTTCCTTTCTTTTTTATAATTTTGTTTTATTTATTCATATTCTTATTTTGCCCATGAACCATTTTAAAGTCTTTGTCTAGTAAGTCTAATGGTATAGGCTTCTTCAAAGATGGTTTCTGTTGACTGAGTTTGCTCTTTCAGTACACCATAGTTTCCCATTTCTTTGTATGTCTTGTGCTTTTTACTTCTTCTTTTTCTAACTCTTTTTCACTCTCTACTTTTGTGGACATTTGAATCTTACAATGTGGTAACTACTTTTTGATTGTTTAAATTTGTCCCTGTGCCAGAGATTAGCCTGAGGTGAAAGCTCAAGGTCTTCTTGGGTCTTTTCTGAATCTATATTTTCCCCTGGGTATGTGAAGTAACTTTTTTCCAGAAATCCTCATGTACAAGGTTGCTTTTACATGTCCTAATCTTTAAATGTCTGGTTCCAAAAAGGGAAAAACAGGCAGGGGGAGGAAAAAGTCACCAATTTAAATTCCCTGAAAGTTTCTTCAGTTGATGAGGGTTGGCCAGCCTCTGTGCCAGTCAAGATTTATCCTGGAAAATATAAAGCTTCAATAGATTCTGGTGTTCCAAAATTATTTCTTCACACAGTTTATGCCAGTATAATTGTTCCTTAGTTAGAGAAATGAGTTCCTGGAACTTCTTACTTTCCTAACTTCCTTGACATCAGTCTAGTATAATCTTATTTATTTTTTGGTACTGGAGATTGAACACAGGGATACTCACTGAGCTACATCCCCACTCCTTTTTTATTTGTTTACTTTGAGACAGTGTCTAAGTTGTCAAGGCTGGCCTCGAAATGTGATCCTCCTGCCTTAGCCCCTACAAGTATCTGGGATTATTGTCATGCACCACTGTGCCCAGCTCACTGTAGTATAATCTTTCATAACATTCTTAGCTGAAACAAGGGAGGAAGTGTTTATCCCTGGACTAGTGTTTTAAGGTCAGAAGACTGTTCCTTAGCTCTGAGTATCATGATAGTGGATAAACCCCTACAAAATGTGAAAATTGAGGATAAAATTTAGGTCATCTGGGCAACCATGTTGCTTTGCTTGAAGATATTTCTTCCAGAAAGGAATTCCTGGTATTTCTGTAAAAGTAAGACTTATTTTTCTAGGGGCTAGTCTCTCTTTGATCTATCTTCATTTGCATGCGTATTGCAATTTTGGATTAGCACACAGAAGACAACCTTCTCCTGATTCTTTGAAGTGTTCCCAGGGAATACAAAGGTGAATCATAAGAGATCCCAGTCCTACAGGAACTGTCAATTTATGTAGTAACCTACAACTAACACACCTTAAATTAGACTGAATGGGCCTCTCTTATGAGTGTATAGGACCTTTTGCCTTGTTCCCAGAGAATCCTAGTGATTATTTTTTGCATCTGTAGTACACCTGTGCCCAACATATATTTGTTGTACTAATGCACTGGATGAAACATTTGCTTAGATTCTTTATAGGAACTTACTGCTAGGAACCTTATTTGAATCTAACAAATACGTAGACACACATGAAGTTTTAAAAATATATTAGATGTATAAGTAGGCCCTGGATCAGTTTTCTCAAATCTTGTTACTAACAAAATCATCTAATGAACATTCATTCACCAAACCATGATACTCCAGCCATAGGGATTGTTTTTGTAAGTCTGGGGTGGAAGCCAGCAACCTACATTTTCCAAAAGCAAACCAGGTAATTCTGATATGCTAGTCATGGGGGAGAACCACTGCCCTTTGGCTGCCTAAGAAAATTTAGTGTCAAAGTATTTGGGGTTGGGGATATTGCTCAGTGGTGAGTGGTTTCCTAGTATGAGTGAAGTCCTGGGTATGATACTTAGCACAGAAAGTAAGAAAAAGAGAAAGAAAAAAGGAAAGAAAGACAATAAAATCAATTCTAGTTTTAGAAAGATTCTGTGTTAGTTTAGCATATAATGAAGAAGCATATAATCAGGAACTGTTTCTAGAGCTTGGAGATGAGGTTCCAGTTTCACTTCAGCTACGTCCTGTTATCTTTAGACAAATTATCTAGTCTTTCAGAGTTTCCATTTCTTGATCTATAAAATTGGAACTACAGGGTTATTATGAAGATCCATGTAAAGCCTTGGTACAGCACCTGTGCTCTAACACATGACAAATGTGGGTCAGATTTATTCTGGTGTACACACGTGCCACCAGATTCGTGCAGATGCAGAAGCCTATTACAGTACACCTTCTCCAGCCAGCTCTTGTGAAACCGGGGATGTCTCCTGGTCCCTCAACCAAACGAAGAATACAAAAGCCTAACTGGGAAGGCACTATTCCCTCTATCCTGCTGCCTCACTGGGCTCTCTAGTGTCTGCGCCGCTCACGTCCACCAGGGGACGCTGGAGCTACCCAAGCTCCGGAGCCGACGGGCGGCGCCCTAGCGCGTGCTCACTTGGGACCTCTGCCGCCGAAATCCTAGGCTTTGGCGGCGGCTCCCCAAACTAATCCTCCGTGGTCAGGTACAGGAGCACTTTAGGAACAAAATTCCTACGCCTTCTGTGCTCTCGGCTCTGCACTCCTACGCCCGCAGGCTAATCTCGGGCGGCAAATACTAGTGTTTCCTTTGCGTCACTGTCTGGGTGGTTTTCGGGCTAACTGGGGCCTGGACCCGGCGAGACGCCGCTGCTGGCCGGATGTTGCGATGGCTGATCGGGGGAGGCCGCGAACCTCAGGGACTGGCCGAGGTAAACCCCGGGCGACCTTCCCTACGTCCGAGAGGCCACACTAGCCGAGCGGTGGCTCGGGCTCCCGGTCCCGGCGGGCTGGCCGGGGCGGGGCGGGGCCTGCGTGCGTGCGCGTGACGCTGCGGAGGCCGCGGGGCGCGGGCGCGGGGCGGCAGGCAGGGCCTCTCGGCCAGCGGTGCCCCTCTGCGATCCTGAGAGGTAGCCGAAGTCACTAAGGACTGGCTTGGGGAGTCAGCTGGTGGTCGGTTCTCGTGGGACCTACTGCTCAGGTCTGGCTGCTTCCACCCGTCTCATTTCAGTGTAAAAGGTATCAGCCTGAACTGGAGACGGACCAGGGGCGACTGGAACGCCCCGCCCTGTATTTGGTGTATTTGAGTTGGAACCTCTTCCCGACGTCAACTCAACAACTCAACATTTTCTGAGAGGATATAAAATCGATTTGGTTACCCAAGAACCAATTAAAGGATGCCATGTAAAACAATTAATAGTCTGCTTCCAAATCAAGAATGTGATTTCCTAATTTAACATCTGTTTTTGGTTCCATAGTCACACTTTCTTCACGGGCTTGGATAATTGAATAGACCACATCATGTAATGACATTTACATTTGAAATGCAAGTGGAATAATTTTGCTGCCTTAAAAATATTGAGATCTGGAATATTTCATATGCCACACAAGAACAGAATTTCTGTTTAATTCCATTTTATTTCTCATAGGAAATATTTATCTAAAGTAAAAAATTGGTTGTTGCTGAGTAAGCGACCTAACTTCTCCGTTTTAACTTCCTCATGTCTTTGCAGTTGAGGTTTACTGCCTTTTTTTTTTTTTAAGAAAACATTTCTTCAGAAGTCTGAAGTCTTTCAGGTTATAGAAGAATTGTGGATGATTGAACCATATATGATATATATATATTAATTTGATATTTACTTGATTAATCATATAATTTGATTAAACAATCTTGCCATTCCTGCTAAGTTTTCATTTGGGAGAAGCATTTTATACCATTTTTATTTTTTCTCATTTGAACATTTGCTAAAAGGAAGACAGGATAAACACTGGATAACAATTGGAGAAAATTGCCATTTTGAAGATTTTTTTTAGAAAACATTGATACATGTTAATTTGTACATTTCTACCTGTAAAATTACTTTAGTTGTGTAACTGCTTTGAATTTGTACATTATCAGAACCTAATAATTTTACCTAATTTTATGTGAGAACTTTGTATCCAGGCTTCCAGATTAAGCAATGGGTCTCAATCTTAGGGTGATTTTTCCCTCCAGGGTATGTATGGCAATGTCTGGAGACATTTCTGATGGTCACAGCTTAGGGAGTAAGGGAAGAAAATGGATGTGGAGTGTAGGTTGTTTCGTGTTGGCATTAAAATGTAGAAACCAGGGACAGGGATGCTCATGCTCAGTATCCTAAAATGAACAGGATAGCCCTAAGCAACAAAGGATAATCTGGTTCAAAGTGTCAGTAGTGTCAGGTTTGTCTAACTTTGATTTAGAAGTTAAAAACAGGATTTTATCATGAACTAGTACTGAATTTGACTCCAGAAATGGCATTGAGACTGCTCTTAAAGAATTATTGTTACATGCACATGTGCTTAGCAGAGTGTCTGACATATGACCTATCACATAGTAGTCTGTAAATATTATCAATTATCTTTTATCAGTATTGAGTTGAATTCATGAATATGAATGATTTCATTCCTTCATGAATGATTTCATTCCTTCCTTTATTCATTAGCAAATGTGTTGAGTGCTTGCAATGGGATATTTCAGTCTACATTTTACTCTTGATCTGCAGTTTTACTTCTGACAAGTTTTAACTGAGAAACACTCATTCTAAAATATTTGAGTTGGATTGGCCCATTAGTTTTAAAGTCATGTTTATTAAGATTTAATATACATAAAATAAATTTGTAAATTTGTGACTTGAAAATAATAAAATTTATTAATTTGTGGTAAGAAAAATGTTTTATGTGAAATTGATAATAGGAGAATTTATACTTGATATTAGAACATAATTTTTATGGCTTTAAAAATCTTGTATTCTTAAGTATATAACATGCAGTTATAAATCATTTTATCTCTTTCTCTTTTGTTTTTGCCTTTTTTTTTCCCCATTATAAGAAATCTCCATTACAGACAATAGGTGAAGAACAAACTCAGAACCCCTACACTGAGCTGCTTGTACTGAAAGCTCATCATGATATTGTACGATTTCTGGTACAGTTAGATGACTACAGGTAAGAGACTCCAGTTGTCTAATTGAAACTGTTTTTCTTTAGAAGGAGTTTTAAGGACAGTTTATATTAAAAACAACGATAACAACTATTAACCACCTTTTCTAAAATTTCAAAACTCCATCTAGTAATTGGAGAAATGCAAACAATTTAAAAAAATGTAACAGTAGAAATTGAAATTGAGCTCTGCATCTTGGGGGAATTATGTATCTAAAGTCTTTTTTGCCCAATATCAGCTTGTCACATCTGGAGGTTATATTTGTTTTGTTTTTTAGAGTTATCAGAAATATTTATGTTAGTTTATAAGAAGTGAATGACTTTAAAATTTGGATTGGAATTACAACTGCACGTTAAGGTGATCCTCAAGTTTCACAACTGCACATTAAAATGATCCTTAAGTTTCGCTACTTGAGGATTAGGGACAGTAGGAACTTGTAGACAGCTGATCAGAAGTGTGGGTGGCCTGGGAGCCCAGATCATGGCTAGTGACTAAGGTGAGGGAAATATTATAGAGGACTATGCCCTTTACCTGTGGGATCTGACCTAACTCCACATACAACCAGAACTGCACAGCTCATAGTCAAAGTAATTAAATACAAATGACATTAAATAAATAAATAAATACCAGAAAGAAGATAAGGTCAATAGATAGCAGAAATTTAAGTCAGAATTAGAAATAATTACAATAGTAGTCACTTGTGGAATCAAAAAAAAAAAAGCAGCAAAGGCAAACAAAAAAATTAAAGAATTAAAGATGATAGTGGAGGGCTGGGGCTGTAGCTGGAACTGAACTCAGAAAAGCCCTATGCTTATGATTATACTTTTGTTATAAAGGGTACAAATCAGGCCCAGCCAAATGAAGAAATGTATAGGGCGAGGCCTAGGAGCATCCCAAATGCAAAGTCTCAATGTCCTCAGCATCTGTTGCCCTTCTGGAACTTGCCTGAGCTGTGAGTGCCTAGAGTTTTTTATTGAGGCATCATTGCATAGACATGATTGTGGGAATCACTGACTCCATGATTTGAACTCAATCTCAGATTCCTCTCCCATTTTAGACCCCCACTAGAGGTTGAAAAGTCAGTCTGATATCCTGTGGCAGAAGCACAAAACCCAAACTTTCCAAACTCAAGGTTTATCTTTCCAGTGTGGCCAGTCCCTATTCTCAAATTATCTAAGAGCCCACAGTAAATCATCCTGATAGCACAAACTAAGATGTAGTGCAAGACACCATTCCTGAATAATGGAGAAACTCCTATCATTTAGGACATTTCCAAGGGTTTAGAGGCTCTCTTATAGGAACCAGAGGCCAATGAAATTATTATACACTTTGTTTCCCAACTTTTGCTTGAAAAGGTTTATCTCATATTTACTATTAGCCTGTCAACACTGTTTTCTTTTTGTGATGCAAGCAAACCAAATCACAGTCTGTTAAACATAGTATGACAACTTTCAGGCATTTTTTTTTTTGGTAATATTCATTTAAAAAATATCTTTAGAGACATTTTGTTTATTTATTTGAATGGTCATTTATGCAGGAAACTAAACATCTCTGCAAAGGTAGCATTTAGGGTACCTAAAGTTTTCTTATACCATATTTTATCCTAATAAGTTGTTAAGTTAGAAAAACATCCAGATAATTTCTTAAAATCAATAATATTTAGGCCATAAGAAATCCTAAAATCATCTTGTCTTGGAGAGTTAAATAAATGTATATGTTCAGTAATAAATGTATATGATATTTAAATTTTATATAGATTGTTAAGATACCATGTTCATGGCTGGCTGTCCTCTGTGAAGTGCCCTCTTGCTATTCTTATTGCATAGTTAGAAGAATAAGTTTTAGGAAAGGCCACCTTGTAAAATAATATCATTGAACAAAGACTGACAGATACTTGATTATATTTACTCCATAGTAGAGCTCATATATAATCAGTTATTCACTGATATAGTAAATATTCTATAAATTAAAAACTGTAGATGAGTATATCAATTACCAATTGTCTTGGGATATCACACTGGTTTAAAACAAAACAACCATCATCTATTTAGCTAATTATTCTGCAGGATGGCAGTTTGGGTCAGGCTTGGCTGGGTAAGTCTCTTCATCTGTACTAGAATTAGCTGATCTTGGCCAGGTTTACTTGCCTATCCATGGTCAGCTGGTAGATTGGCTGGGGCTGGCTGGTTTACAGTGGTCCCAGCTGGGGGACTGCCTTCTGTCATCATGTCCTTGTTCATCCAGTGTTCATGGAGTTCTAATGCCAGCAGGAAGGCAATCCCTCAAGTAAGACACTTTTCATGTCTGCTTGCTGCCATTTCATTGGCTGAAGGAAGTCTGAAGTTGACTTAAATTCACTGAGTAGGTAAATAAATTCTCCTTTTGACGGGAGGAGCAACTAAGTCCTATTGTAAATGGTGGATATAGGAAGAGGAAATAATTTATGGCCATGTTTGCTATCCACTACATTGAATTTAAATGTCTACAATAGATGAAAAAGCCTTTTGGCTTTTGCATTACAGTGATGATATGATTTCATGAACAATGTTTAATTAATTTTACATGTCATTACTGTATCAAATTTATATATAACTAGTTGTGAAATATTTCAGTTGCAGACCTATAGAACTTTCACTCCATGTTTTGCTTTAAAAAAATTTAATTTTATAGTAAAAAAAAAAAGAACTAAAAGAGTCATTCTTGCACATAAGATACAAGACAGACATAAGAAAATCTATATATACTAAATATTTATTATGAAGAGAATTAAAAGCTTGATGTTTTCCACTCTTAAATTTTTAAATTAACACATAATTTTGCATGTTGATGGAATGTTTAGATAGTTTTGAATTATCTTTACTATTGTACATGTACATTATTAATACATTATCAAATCATAGAACCAGGGCTGGGTCTGTAGCTTAGTGGTAGAGCTGAGACACTGGGTTTTATCCTCAGCACCACATAAAAATAACTACAAAAATAAAGTACTGTGTTCATCTAATACTAAAAATATAAAAAAATTATAGAACTACATTTCTTGTTTTAAAATAAAGTTTATGTCATTATACTTTTTATATTTTCATTTAGTTTTGTAGGCATTATATTCTGGTTTTTTTTTTGTTTTTTTTTTTTTTTTGGTCAGCAGTTGTAATCCAGGTTTCACGCTTCAGGTCTTTAGATAATATCATTTTATTGAAAATTTTGCAGAAGGATTTTCTTGTTTTCTCGGTGGCTCAGCTAAAATCAGTGAGTGGAAAATTTTCTCAGATTGGTTTTTGAAGATACCAAATAAATCCTGTATAACCTAACAGACAGCTGCCTTTTCTTTTCTTCTTTAGTATTTTTTGAACATGAAGTGAGGGTCATATTGATTGGGAGATCACTAAAGAAGGCTAAGCCTCAGCAAGAGTCTTCCAAAAAATGGACTGTGCTAAAATTGCATGTAATACTCTAGCATTTGACACATTAAACTAAACTGAGTTCATAACACATTTTAAGAATAGTTTTCTCTGTTGCTTATTTGACCATTCCTTGCTCCTCCAGGAAACATACAAGGTTATGTAGGATGGTGATCATGACTGGAAAAGAATCAGATGACCCATGAAGTGCCAGACTGGAGAACAAACATGCCTCTAGGGTGGCTGGTGGAGCTGTACATTCACAAGACAGTCAACACAGTATAGTTTGATAATCCATTGAAAACAGTGTGCTTCGTCTTTTTTTTTTTTAGTCGTAGATGGATATAATATCTTTATTTATTTTTTATGTGGTGCTGAGGATCCAAATCAGTGCCTCACATGTGTGAGGCAGGCGCTCTACCACTGAGCCCCAGCCCCAGCAAGAAGATATTCTGAAGAATATTCTTTCTCCTATGCTAACCTTTAGAGAATAGAGATCAGTAGTCAAGATAACGTAGATTCTTCTAATTCCTAGGAAGCAGACACTAAAATGGAATTAAGTATGCAAAAGGTCTATTAGAGAGAAGTGGCAGTGAAAGAAGGAAGGAGGCAGGATGGGGATGGGGGAGCTATGTCAGACTCTGATGCAGATGTCACAGTCTCTGACAGTCCACAATGGAGAAAGGATTACCCCTGAATGAAGTTCTTGTATGTATGGAAGTAACTAGGCCTTTGTACCTTTGCTGAGAATCCTCTAGGAAGAATGTGCCCCTGGCTTCTATCATCTTGCTTAACTCCCATTGCCTGGAACCCCAGTGAGCTAGTATGATTTTTGACTTAAAAGCTGAAATGGATCTTGAAGTCAACAGCTGGAGGCAGTCAGATAACTGTATTCTTCACAGTTGGGCAGCTATTCCTGTCTTGAAAGGGAATCTAGAAGGTACATCTTTAGGTCTGCTATACTTCTATAGGTGTGAGTAGTGCTACTTAATTTTTTTTTCCTTTTTGGTACTGGGGAATGAACCCAGGGTGCTTTGCCACTGAGCTATATCTCCAAACTTTTTATTTTGAGAATTTTTGTGTATGTTAAATTCTCCTTTAATGCAAAGGTGTACTTAAAACGTGGTCTTAGATAGCACCTTAACAGGAGAGCAATCAATTTATGGAGAAGTAATAACATGAAGGAAGGGTCTTTTGAGTGTCTTGCAGTGGCAAATTGTGAGAAGGCAAATATATGGGGAAAACTAATAGTAGATAAGGGCCAGTTAGTAAGGTTTGTTTGTGCAGACTTTTTCTCGGTGCCATCTCATCTCCAGTGATGAGGTTGGTATGCCCTTGCTGCTATGGGAAATGAGGTGGGAGAGAAGCATGTTCACAAGAGTGATTTTTGTTCTGTTTTCCATGAATATGGGGAGGGTAGAGAGCACAGTCTATGTCTTTTTCTCAGCTGCCTTTTGCTGAAAATAATTCTTATATTAGAATGGTGTATTTGGAGATTGCATACTCTTAATCATTTGATATGAAATAACAAATTTAGGTAATGATTTTGATGGATATTAATATCACAAACAAATACAAAGACTGACAGCAATTACAATTCCTGA